AGGAAGGAAGGAAGGAAGGAAGGAAGGAAGGAAGGAAGGAAGGAAGGGAGGGAGAGAAGGAGGAAGGAAGAAAGGAAGGAAGGAAGGAAGGAAGGAAGGAGGGAAGGAAGGAAGGAAAGAGGGAGGGAAGGGAGGGAGGGAGAGAGGAAGGAAGGAAGGAAGGAAGGAAGGAAGGAAGGAAGGAAGGAAGGAAGAAAGCTGAGCCACTCTGATTAAGGTTGTTACTCAGGCATGTATACCTCACTCTGAAATTTACTCTTCTTTACATGTGAACATAAAATGAACATGTTTTGATTTTTATTTACTTTAAAAATATTTTTTATCTAATTTTTACAATCCTCATTCAGAAAGGCAAACGGGACGGACATTGGAAGAGGGAGAAAACCGGGAATGGAACAGGAGCCTACCACAGAGGGCCACTGAAAGACTACCCAGCAGGTTATCGAAGCAGATGCTGAAAAACTATATTATTTGAAAAATATCAGAAGCAGTAAATCAACATAGAAACTGGAGTATATCCACACAATGAAGACAATTCATGTTAAAAAGAGATGAGCTGTAAGTCATTCAGATGCATGAGAGAAACTTAAACATGTATTGCCAAGTTAAAAAAAGCTACTCATTAAAATCTACACGCCATATAATTTCTGCTACAGTCATGCATAATAATTTCCATCAACTAAAGACCATACTTTACAACCATGATATCGAAGACTGTATCACCTTAATTTGTACACTACAAAACTGTGTAACAGTACCCTTCTCAGAATATATGCCACACTGCCATGCTCACTGCACGCCACATTCAGAAGAGGGGAGAGCCACGGCGACAAGGGGAAGGTCACTAGCAGCCAACAACGAAGAAGCAGAAGAATGAGACTTTCCAGTCAGAGAAACTACTCTGTATTGTACGGCAAGGATGAACGGATGCCATGGTACCTTTAACCAACACCTAGTGGGTTATTTAATGACTTACTGATGTAGGTTCACCAGCTGAAACAGATGTGCCATTCTGCCAGATGTTGCTAATAAGGGGAGCCATGCTGGTGCGGAGGAAGATTTTCTGTATCTTTTGCTCAGTTGAACAGAAAACTATAACCAAAAACTAAATTTCTTTAAATCATAGAACTAGATGAGTCCACAGAAGCATCTATGGACTTTTGCTAATCATTTTCACATGTATGCATCATTCTTTGCCAAGTAAATGATACATAAAAATAAAATTAATGAAATTGTCTGCTTTTCAAAAGGCCACAGTGGGCATGCTCTAAACTCTTGCCCATTTCAGCTGTTGGCTCCTCCAAGTACCTCCTCCAGAAAGAGAATGGCAAGGGCTGTAACGGTGCCCTCTGTGCTTAAAACACTCCTCTGCGATTTGGAAAACATCTTGAGCAGTAAAAAGGTTAGGGTGAGGATTAAGGACCAACTTAGATGAGCAAGGTCAGAAAGGAAAATGGCGTTGGCTGGGCACAAGTGTCACCAGGCAAAACACGGCGCCCATGTGAGAAAAGCAGACAAGCTGGGAATGGAGCCGAAGCTCAAACCAGGCTCTTCCTTTGTGTTCTCTCAATAGGACCACCCCGGGACAGGGCGGTGCTCACTGCCAATGTGTGTGCACACAATTGACCTGCTCAGGCCACCACTGTTTCTGCCAAATGGGCACAGGCAGCACAGGCTCCGCCTTTTCTGCATGCTGAGACCCACCAGATGCCAGAAGTGTATGGCAAACTCTCAGGAAATACTACTGAGAAGAGAGTATGAACACAGAATAATGAACAACTACAATAAGTGCTATTTTGCATTATGTCTCTATCATCCTCAGAAAATAATTAAGTAAATAACAGGAAAAATAGGTGGACAGATGGTTATAGGAAATATTACAAAGATATAGTCCTGTTTTGCTTTCAAAACAACTGAAATTATTCAGCAGCTAAAACTCAGCTTGGAAAGCATTGTAGATAAGCCATACTTTTGTTTCTTTGGCTCTATAGAAAACAATGAAAATATTTTAGTTTCAAGTCTTAATTTGAAAAAGCCTCCAAGCACTTTCTGAGGAGACAGATTAACTACTTAAATTATCACTAATGAACACTTGAAAATTTGTACCTGTCATAGCCATAAATCATACATGCTCAATAATAAAATCCTGGTCACTAAGAAATCGCTGCTATGTGTGGTTGTGCTGTGTGTGGTTGTGGTGTCAGTGAGGTCAGAGACAAGCACAGCTGCCCTGTGCTGAAGAGTGTGTTTAATGCAACCTCTGAATTATGTAATGTGTGTGTCAAAGGTCCCTGTCAAAAGGCTGAGAGGTTAGCGTGGAGAAGCTCCTCTGCAAATGCAATCAGCCAAGTGGACCTGAACAGCTAATTACAGATAACTATGCTTCCCCCTTAGTTTAACTCCACAGTGAGACATATCCGACTCTAGACACTTAAGAAACTCAAAACTCTTCAGTGAGGTTTAAGGATAATCTTTAATGACAGATGGATTCTTCTCTAGGAATCTATCTTTTACAACAGGCCGCTAGATAAACTTTTATTTACTGAAATAGTCTATGTTCCTTCTGAAAATAGCCACAAGAGGTCAGGCTTTCCTAGGAATTGCATGTGAAAGGCCCCTACACCTTTGCAGTACAGTACATTAGCAATTATGACATAGTAAATCCAGTGACGTCATCTAATCCCTGAGGCGTCAACAGAAAGACTACATAGTGACCACATACCCACAATTTAAGCTTAATGTGCAGCTTCGCTTAATCTCTAAAATGGCGTGTAGACAAGTCTTTCCCAATCCTATCTGTGAAAATTCAGATTACTAAAACGTTAGCTGTTAACCTGCACACACCCTCCCCCAAGAAAAACAAAGAGGCTTGGTGTGCAAAGTAAAGAAAGGGGGCGGAACTCGGCCCCACCCCCACAGGCTCACCCTGCCAACTGTCGTTGCAGACACACAGCTTCTCTCCCGTGAGGTCGCAGTAGCCGTGGTCGGGGCTGCCACAGTTGGCTCTGCAGTAAGGGATGTCGCACGCTTCCCCTTTCCAGTACTTGTCACACTCACAGTACACTTGACTCGCAGTGGAGACCCTTGTTGTGCACCTCCCATGGCCAGAGCAGTTGTTGGGACAAGAGTTGAGTCTGTAAAACATAATTCACGCGCTCAAGTACCACGCACACATTCACATTCCGTAAAACTTTAAATGAATTTGGGTCATTTTATAGAGTTAGTTTTCATAGTTCATCTGTTTATTAGTTTAACACAATTCCCCACGTGGCTTGAGTTCTTTGCTCGGCACCCTGCTTTAGAGCGGGGCCCAGGGGGCAGTCCAGGCTGTACACTTCCTGCAGGCTCCAGGTGCTGGGGCTGCCTGCGTGAGCTGCCTGACCCCCCGCCTCTCGAGCACCCCTCATCCCAGCTGTTAGTCCATTCGATAGGCGTAGTTTGCTCACAAACCTCCAGCGTGCAAGGACTACCACACTCGACTCCTGGAGCGTCGGGCACTCCAGAGCATAATGCTCATAAAAAGCCGTGAGTAAGTGTTACAAATATGTGCTTCAAGAAAAAGAAAGTTTAAAACTCCTGAAACCCAAGAGAACCAAGATATTACTTAGCTCTAGCACTTTAAGACATGTGGTGCTACTAACACACAAAGGACACGTGTGTCACGTTTTAACACCCTCTAACTGATTGCATTCTGCTCTATATTTACTTCCCCTGTGCAGATATTTGGATACATGATAGTACAGGGAAATCCCAAAATAAATTGCTGATTCAAGGGTATTTTAAACACTTTATTCCTGGTGAAATTTTTACTCATTAGCAGTTTCTATCTTCGTGAGGAAAAGAAGAAAAGGCCCCGACAAGTTCCTAGTTGGCCTTTCCTCTGCGAAACCTGGCAGCCCCTCTCAGCTCTCCACCCTGGACTTCCAGACATGAAGGTTTTAATGAGAAGAAGCGTGTGAAGGGGCTAGAGAGACGGCTCAGCACTTAGGAGGACTGCTTGTTCTTCCAGGAGACTCAGGCTCAGTGTTCCGCACACACGTGGCGACTCACAGCATCTGTAACTCCAGTTCTGGGGGATCCAACATCCTCTTCTGGCCTCCACCGGCACCAGGCATGTGGGTGATACACAGACATACCCACAGACAGAACACCCACCACACAAATATAACCACACTTTTATAATAGAAATAAATATGTTGAGCAAAATCAAACACAAAAAAAATAAGTTCAGAAGCTACAAATAGCTGAATAAAATAATAAAGCCAATATAAGACTTCAACAAAAAGATTAAAATATTGGAAAAAATCAAACAGAAACTGTGAAATAAAGAACTAAATAAGTCAAATAAAAAAATTGTCGGACAGCCTTGTCAATAGATCAGGTAGAGCCCCGGGGCTTTAAAATGAGGTAGATGAAATCACACATTCGTAAAACCATAAAGCACACACAAACACAAACGGAGCATGCAAGACCTATAGGACACCACTTTAAAACCAAACTTCCAAATCATGGTCATCAAAAGTACAAACTAGAAGCATAAAAAATACACTACTAAAATCAAAGCAGGAAAATTCCCAAATGTAGAATAAAAATGGCATCAGATATAGGAGGCATGCAGCACACCAGTCAGGGCCAGGAAAGAAGCCCCCGTATCAACTGCCAGGAAAGTACTAAGCAAACAGGTAAAGTACTAAGCAAACAGAACAAACAATGGACACTGAAAGCTGTCTGAGAAAAGCATCAGATCACATGCACAGAAGCTGATCTGAATCATGTGGCCCTCTCAGAGCAGCTGCACCAGGCAGGAGGCCAGAGAGGAACAGGTTTCACTCTTATTTTAATTTAATTTTATTTATATATTTATTTATTACAATTTATTCACTTTGTATCCCCGCTGGAGCCCCCTCCCTCATCTCCTCCCAGTCCTACTCCCCTCCCTCTTCTCCCCCATGCCTTTATAAGGCATGGTCCACTTATAGGGGAGGTCCTCCTACCCTTATAAGGCTGTACACCTGCAGGGGAAGGTGATCAAAGAGCCAGCCACTGGGTTCATGTCAGAGACAGCCCCTGTACCCCTTACTAGGGAACCCACTTGGAAACTGAGCAGCCAATGGGCTTCCTCTGAACAGGGGTCTAGGTCCTCTCCATGCATGGTCCTTAGTTGGAGTATCTGTCTCTGCAGGCCCCCCTGGGCACAGGTATTTTGGCTCTGTAGTTCTCGTTGTGGAGTTCCTGTCCTCTCCAGATTTTTCTATCTTCCTCTTCTTCCATAAGGATTCCTGCACTGTTTCACTCTCTTAAAGACAATGACTACCAGCTCAACAAAACTGTCTCCTAAATGGAGACAACAGAACATCTTCCATGCTAAAAAGAAGCTAAAAGACCCTGTGAGCCCTGTGCATGCACAAAGGAAGATCCGTAAAGCAATCCCACAAGCTGCTGTGTGAGCTGAGCAACATCTGAGGGTGCAGATGGCAGCTGGAGACTGAGAAGAGAAAGAAGGTGATATCAAGTTGACTACGGAAATAATCCACCAGGAGCATTTTATTCTATCAAGAAGAAAACTCAGTCTCACAAGACAAATACTGTTGGATGGAAACACGAGCTGACCTCAACACAGTAATAGGGGTGACATCAGACTTGCCAGACCTAACCGCCACGGCACATCAGACAACTTAGCAAATGTCCAAGAGAGTCCAGCCCAAGCCCTGCCATCTGCACACTCTTCTCAGCACCCACAGGAACTTCCTCTGGAATGGACCTCATTTAGATCACAAGGCAAGGCTAAACAAATACGAGCAAAATGGAATAACTTCTTATATGCTCTCTGATCACAATAGGATGAACAGAAATCAACAGAATAATGAAAGTATACAAAGTCACAGAGATGGAAAAACACACTCCAGAATGAATTTTAAAACTCCCAGCATCAAATCAAAATGAAAACTCAATATTCCAGAACCTATGCATTAAAACAAAAGTATCTATCAGAGATAAATTATTGGAATAAATAGCATTCATTGAAATCAAGACATCTCAATTTAAAAACTTAACGACAGAACTTGAAGTCTTAGAAAAAAGAACAAATTAAAACCAAAATCAGAAGATGAAAAAAAAAAGTATCAAGGAAAAAATTAATGAAACAGAAATGGACAATATAAAGAATAAATAAAATAGGCTATGCTCTTCAGAGACAAGCAAGACTGACAACCCCTTAACCAAACCACCCGAATAAAGACAGCAGACTCATATTAATAACACTGGAGATGAAGATAAAAGCAGCATGATAGATACCAGCGATGCCCAAAAGATCCCTGGAGCATATTTGAAAACCTATATTCCAATAAATTGGAAATTTGAAAGAAGTGGACAAAATTCTAAAGACCTGTCAAAATGAAATGTGAACTAGAACAGTTTAAACGGATCTAAATAAGCAACGAGACCGAACACCCGTGTCCCAAATAGAACGTTCTAATCCTAGACTTGAAAAGTATTGTAAACCAGACTTAGAGGGCACTGTGCTATACATTATGTGCCTAGGAAGTGTCCCCCACGTTTACAGAGTCACGCTGCTCAAAGGACTCCGCAGGCAGGAAGTTCTGTATAAAATGACAGACACATAACAGGTCTTCGTTAAGAAAACGACTGAGCATTGTTTTTCTCATTTTAGAAGAAAGAGCAGTATAGCCACACGGTTCATCTCCTACACCTCATGGCAAAACTGTTGTAAAGGATTGAATCCCACAAGGAGACTCTAGCGACCTAGAAAACCCTCGGGACACAGGGACTACATGACCGTGATTCCTACAAGCCTCCCCGCACCACAGGTAAACTACTTTAGCGCCCCAAACGGCAGCTTAGAGCCCCACGTGCGTGCCGCCGTGTGTGTAAACAGCTCTAGGGCTGGTTTACCTAATCATTCACTTAAACGATCTTAACTTTGTAATTAGCTTTTCAACCACACAAGCTCCTCCGGACTTAGGAAAATTATCAAACTTAGCCGGTAGCGTCTGGGATAGCGCCAGCACGTTACATAGCTTCGAAGAGGACCCCACGTACGCTGACATTTACACGGAAACCTGCTCCTGTCACACGGGACTTGCACACACGCACACACACTTACGAATAGAAGATGTTGAAGCCGGTCAGGTTGTACGCAGCGTCGCTGAAGAAGTGCAGCAGCGCGTAGCCGGACGTCGTGACGACCTCAGGCACCGTCTCGTTGCCCCGCACTTCGGGCACGATCAAGCCACTAAAGCAGAACAGAAGTGAGAAACTGGGTCTCCGCTGTGACTGCACAGAAAATACGCTCAGAACATCATCCAGGTAAGAACGGGAGCACATTAGAAGAGCTTAAGGAAAACAAATAGCCAGTTCACACATTTCTACCCCATCATGTCTACTGCTGACACAGCAGCACATCCTCTCACGCACCTCACCACCACCTGCCTCTCCTCTTCCTCCTGCTGCTCCTCATCCTCTCCTAACACTATTTGGACACTAAATGTCCTTTCTCCTTTTAACTCTGCTATCATCCCATAACAATAGTACACAACGGTTCCATTCATAGGCTCCATTCCAAGGCGCCTTAATACCCCAGCGAGTACTTGACCAGCTTTTCTCTTCCCCTCTGATGACAGAGTCATGACACTAGAAGGGAATATTCCACACCAGTTTACACGCCTACCACAACAGCCATTTGTAACTGTCCCTTTTTAATAACGAGCTTGGTGTCAGACACTTCTAAAGTATGTGCCTTTGCTTCTTTAAAAGTCTGCTTACTGTTGTATTAAAACATAGATATTCCCAGGAATAGTCAATAAACACACAAAAGAAAACTTGTGATGATATGCAGGGTAAATGCACAAAAGATCTGTGCATCAGATATTTCTTTGTTTGGATGGCTGGCTTGCTGAATGGATTTTGTTGTGTGGTTTGGTTTGGTTTGGTTTGGTTTGGTTTGGTTTGGTTTGGTTTGGTTTGGTTTGGTTTGGTTTGGTTTTGGAGAGTCTCACACTGCAGCCCAGGGTGATCTTGAATTCATGATCATCCTTCTGTCTTTGCTTCTCAGGTGCTGGGATTACAGGCATGAGTCACCATACCCAGCTTTGATACAGTCCTCTATTCTGCCTGGTCATCTGAAAAAACTACATTCTTCATTTAGTTAGGCCAAAGTACCCTCTCTGAAAGGTGCAATAAGATGAAGAAGTTTTAAAAAATGTACAATTCAAATTAGTGGATTCCTTATTTTTCATGTAAATTCATTGACTTTATTTAAACAAATTTGATTTAAATTTATCAAAGCATCACTTCCCTGCACAGCACACGCCTGGACTTAAACTAAACTTGTAAAACCAGCACCAGCCAGCTACAGAATCTTTCCACCACTGGGAGGTGATCGTGTCCCCTTTGTCTAGCAAACTCCTCCACCTTCACATGGTTTCTGCTACTGTAGACTTCTCCTTAGAAGATAAAATAGAATATTAAGGTATGTCTTCTACATATGACTTATTTCATTCAGCATGGCTTTTGACACTTACACATTTTTTTCAAGTATCCATAGTGTTTCGTTTCTCAAAGCAGTAGATTTTTTTTCAAAGTTAAAGTAATGTTTAGGCATCAATGGGAACTGAACTCCCTCAAACAAATTTTGTTTGATAGAAAAGTGAGATCCAAAAGATATCTTATTTTCAAATACAAAAACATTAAAAAAGTAAACAACTATTTGGGCGTGGCAGTGCATATCTGTAATCCCAGCACTCTGGAAGACAGAGGCAGGCGAATCTCTGGGTTCGAGGCCAGCTAGTCTACAGGGCGAGTTCTAGGCCAGCCAGGGCTACACAGAGAAACCCTGTCCTGAAAAAACAAAATTAATTAATTAATTAATTGAAATGTTTAAAAATGTTAAAGAAGAAGAAGAAGAGTAAGTAAACAGCCCTGACTTACTGCATCTACCAGGCATGAGGGGAGGGTTTCTTGTGGTGCAACCACCTTTAAGTCACCCACGCCTCTGCAGCCCAACAGACTTGTTCACGCGCTAAACTAAACGTGTGCAGAATCATCTCTGTTCTGTCACTAGTGCCATTCAAGAGTGAATACTTATGTTCTTCATAACGTCTCAGGAGGATGTATAGTTCCACAACAAAATCAAAATGAGCATACTGACAGAAAAATGAAAAAAAAAATATTCCATCTATATGTTAAAATGCCTATATAAAAACAAGCCTGGTCTGTTTGCTTGCTGACTCATAAATGTCTCAAAAGCACCAAATGAGGGTGCTGGAGAGATAGCCGGGCAGCTAAGGAGCGTTACTCTTACACAAAACCCAAATCTCGTTCCCAGCACCTATGTCAAGCAGCCAAGGGAAGCTTGTGAGTCCAGCTCAGTCCCGGCCACCGTGGGCACCTCCACTCACACACATACCCATAGGCAGACAGACACACATACACAAAGACTTTTTTAAAGCAATAAATGAAAAGGGGACTTCCATTCATTACGTAACAATCCACATTTTAATATAACCCACAGAGTAACTCAACTATACAAAACCTAAACCAGGCTGCTTGAAATAACACAGGACTAACCCCTAAGGCGAGCCCAGGCCAGACAGAGGCCATTTCTCTGCAGCTGAAAACAGAGTTTAAGGTCTAAGGCCTAGGGGAGGGGTGTCAGCGATGTTCCAGAGCTAGAGAGGCAAACGGGGACCCCAACAACTAAGAGGCAGAAAAAGTCAATGCTGTGTGTCAGGCCCGAGTGACCTCAACTCCCGAGTCTGAGTTGAAGTGACCTGCTGGTGCTCCAGTTACTTCCTGCAGGAATGCATCTTTCCAGGCCTAACTTACTACCACATACAAGTTTTCCAAATTCAATACCCAACACAAATATGTCTGGCACCAGAGGGGAGTCAGGAATTAGAGACAAAGCTCAATTACAAATAGTCTTCATGTTGCAGCAATGTCTTGCCTACAGAAAAAAATGTGATTTAAGTATGGGGCATAAGGAGTGACTGGAGAAATAGGTTTCATGGACTCACTGGGCCCCATCACTGCCAGAGAGACAACTCAGGGCAGCTCGAAGGCTTTCAGGGCTTCACGCTCGTCTGTGGTGGTAACAGGGCAGCGTGAGAACTGAATGTGCCAAAGGGTGATCAACGATCCTGAGCACCCTGGCATGAGATGGACATGCAGCAGACGTGACTCATGGCTGTTCATTCAGTTTTCACCCCAGGTGTCCCTTCACAGAGCCTACGCTAACAAAACCTAAAATTACTTAATATTTCCTTATTGTCTTATGCTGCGCATGTTTTTTCCCTCTAGAATGTTCTATCCGGTACTATGCTTTGGCCTGTTAACCTTCTACTCATAACAAAATTCACCAGAAATAATTGACTAATTGTCAGAAATTATATATTCTTTCATTATTGGACTATACCTAATATGTATAAAAATTGCTTTCATGTGTAAGTATTGTGTAGTTAAAAAAAAGGAATGGCCAGCTTCTGCTACCAATTTTTAAAATACAACCTTCAAATTCCTAAACTTTCTCAAGCAAGTGATGAACTGTTTTTGCTGCTTACAGCAGACCTTGACAGTTCCTGTCCATGGTCCCTTCACAGCGGAAGCTGAAGCGATACTTCAGTTGGGGATGGTCACTCCAGCAAAACCAACCGTGTGATTAAAGAGTTGAAGTCATCTGGGACCAGCCTGACTTAATAACAGAGGAAAAGCAAAGACTTGCCTTCAGCCTCCTCACGGCCAATGACTCAAACGACCAAGCTTCCCAGGGAAACAACCAAACAACCGAAGACCGAGCGCAGACACCTGAAGCTGGGGAGCCCGGTGACAGCCTGAAGCTGGGCGGCCGCCTCCTGAGGACAGAGTGCACCTGTGGGCACCACTCCCAAGATCAGGTCCTGCCTCTCTTTCTGCTTCCAATTTCTATTCCTGATAACAGAAATGGTAGCCACAAATACAGCACTTTACTGAGTTCTGTGGGTCATCCTTGGAAATTATCAAAAATTAGGCAGCATGGGTCACCCGGATTTGTGGCCAAAGAGAAAAAAGAAGGATGGGGACATCCCAAACTTACACTGGTGTCTATGGTGAGGACACTTCCACGTGTGCCCCTCCCCAGCAAGTTTCCTTCTACTCCAGGCTGTGGTGTCTGCATGCATCACAGTGACCTTTGCCTTACTCCTTACTATGTCTCCAGCCTTCTGACAGTCTCTCATAGTTATTAAATATTAGGTATCCATGTAGTTGGCTGAGTAATAAATATTTATATAGCATTATAACTCTAAAATAATTAAATGCTTTTTCTTAGCAAAGTGGAATTAAACAGTATGTGCTTTTGAATCCTAATCCTGGCTTAGCATCTATTAGTGGTAAATGGTTTCTCTAAGTCTTGGTTTTTTTTCAGTTGTAAAATGGGAGATAATATTACCTCACCCTCAAGGCTCGTGAGAGATTTAGATGGCACTGGCAGCCACAGTGCTTAGCAGCAAACAGTTATTCAGAGAACTTGAGTTTCCATCCCCTCAGTGTCTTAGACCCACAGCAACGTGGAGGAGACAGTTTATTTGGCTGACACATCCTGAATCACAGTCCATAAGGAAACCAAGGCAGAAACTCAAACTAGGCAGGAACCTGGAGCAGGAGCTGATGCAGAGGCCATGAGGGTGCTGCCTGCTGGCCTGCTCTTCACGGCCTGCTCAGCTGCTTTCTTACAGACCCCAGGACCACCAGCCCCAGGGGACACCAGCCACACACAATGGGATGGGCCCTCCCTTGCCAATCTCCAGTTGAGAAAACACAAGCTGGCCCTCAGCCCAATCTTACGGAGGGAGGTGTTTTCTCCACTGAGGTGCCCTATTCTCAGGAGAGCACAGACTGCACCATCAGGACAGGCAACAGGAGTGCTTGACAAAGAGATAAAAACTTGATAAACTGTTGTTAATGAGCACAAAGTCATGACATGAGTGAAAATAAAAACATTGGCCTAAGTGTTTGTCAGCAATGTCACAAAACTAATGACATGATAGCAAATTGGAGTGTTAATTGTCAAAATAAAGGTGTCAAGCCAGCATCTTATCTAATTGTTATAATAAAATTTTCTTACATTATAACTATTCTCGTGGGTCTGTTACTTTTTTACCTAGAGTCCTTAAACTAACATTATTAACTCTCCTTTTTTTCAATGTTCAAAAAACTCAAAACAGAAGTTCTAAAGGGCAAAAGGGATGGCTCAGCCACTAAGAGTGCTTGCTGCCCTCACAGAGCTCAGTTCCCAGAACCTGTCAGAGGGCTCCCAACGGCCAGATCCTGAGGACTCAGCGCCCTCTGCTGGCCTCCACAGCGCCTCCACAGGCACCTGTTTGTACACACACACACACACACACACACACACACACACACACACACACATATGCACACAGACACACATGCACACACATATGCACAGACACACATAACACACACACTAAATCTTTTTTTTAAGAGTTGTAAAAGTATTTTCAGCAAAATCACAGAATAAATACCTAAACGACTTAGAACAGGTTCATTCTGAAACAGTCATAAATCATAGAATCATAAAAAAAAGAATAGAAATACCAGCCCATCAATATTGGTCCAACAGGGTTTCAAGTTACGATGAAATAAAATATTTGCAAGACAGTGAAAAGAAGATTTAAAATTAAAATAATTGTGGAAACAAGCTTCTATCTACAGTTAAATTTCCAGATCTGATAGAACCAGAGAGATACTGTGTAAAAACAAAAGTAAAAACTAACATAACAAGCAATTTGTCAACAATCACGCTGCTAAGTTGACTACAAAACCTATATTATAAGTTCATGCTTTTCCATAGTTCACATATTTTCCTCCTATTCACAACTTTCCAATAATACAGTATTATTAAAAAGCTTAGATTGATACTAAAATGCTATGATTTGAAAATTAATATCCTGATTATCTGACTACTTATAAAATACTATGAAGTAACCAAAATTTCCACATTTCTGTGAATTGGTAGAAATTCTTCCTTTATTAATCCTTATCCCAAGTATAACTTAGTTTGTGTTTTCAGAATTTAAAACTTCCTCAGTTCACTAAAGCAAAAAAGACAACTATTTTTAAAAAATGTATACACTTGCTTATTCGCCAACCTGAACTCACCCAGACATCTCTAAACAGGTGTTTGTAACAACATATTTCAAACAACTTAAAGGAATAAACTAAATACTATGAAAATAAAAAGCATTTATAAAGACGTCTGGAGTCCCTGCAGTATGTATTACTCGTCTATTTTAACATTACTGTCTACACCTAGCAGCCGCAGTACACAAAAGGTATCGCAGTAATCACTGAAATCCAGCCACCAGCCACCGCATAAATGTGGAAACAGATCAGGAACACCCTGCTTATTTACTCCCCCGTGGCGGTCAGCGAGTTCACTAGGTGGACGTAATCACTCACCTGAGCACAGCAACTAACGGTGCATATATGGAGTCCCCGTCGTACACATACATGTGGTCCCAGCTGCATTCCGTAGCAAAATGATTGAACCTTAACCTGAGCACTGCATTTGGACTGGAAAAAGGAAAGTTGTCTTTACATTCACATTAACATAAAATATACTAAAATTAGACATAGTAAATTTGTTTAAAATATATTTACAGATACTTTTTCTATAAATCATTAAATCACCAGAAGAAAAGCTGATATGCAGTCATGACACAGGTTTCAAAATACACATTTTGCTTTCTTAAAATTTCAGTCAACAATAAAAAGCAGGCCTTATATACGTGACTAAGGCAGAAATTACGAACTTTATGTATTTTTTACTGAAATCATATTAAATTATTTACTAACATGAATGCATCCTATCATATCGAGCCATATTTAAATAAAGTTGGTTACAAAAGTTCAGCACTCAGAAGCAGTCAGTCCCACTGACACAGAACCTTTATGTAAAGTCATTGGGTTCTTTCATTTTTTTTTTTTTCTCAAAATAGTGATACACTAAGACTAAAGGTAAATAGTGGAAAATAGCTGTTGAAGTACTAAAAATACTTTTAAAGTAATCCAAAAAGCATGGCTTTCCAAATACAGTCTAAAAGTCATAAAATAGTACCAAAGAATTAGTGCCAATTCACTTATGATCTCCTCATAATAGTTTAAATAACTAAAATTCCTCACTGTGAAAAGCACCCGAAGAGAATAATAACAAACGTTACAAAGTGTCTACAGAATGTTATGACAATATCATTAAAAGATGCTTAGCACAATTAAAATTTTAAAACGCTATTAGAATTGAAATGCTGAAAAATATTAACCAACAGCCTGACCCTGCACAGAATATCTTTATACTTTCTACAGAATTGGTAAAGTTCCTAGCAAGATGTTTCTCAAAAGCCAAGAGGCCAACGTGTTTAGTCCTGCGATAATGTAATTCAAAAGCAATATATATATTTAATTATTACACCATAAATGGAAAGAACTCTGATTTATATTTTTGAACTTCATAAAATTAAGCATATGTTCCAATAATAAGCAAAGAAACTAATATACATACCTAGTCATTTTACCTACTGCTTTAACATCTCAGAGTAAAAGTAACTTATTTAACTCAACTGTATACTTACTAGGCTTCAATTAGCCATGTACACTTGGTTTTATATTTATAGTTAATTGGGCCGTCTGTTAAATACCCGGAAGGTTCTGTTAACCTGAAAAAAAAAA